GGATAAACCTTTTCCATTGACAGTCTTACACACAACTGTTTGGCCCCTGGCAATGTGTCTAGACAATGTCTGTTATTTGTTTCAGTTCTGAAAGATATGCATTAAATACAATGGTCATCACAAAAAATCTCGTCAGAAAAAAACAGGTTTAAAGATTTAAAAAATCTTATACAAAAAGAAATTAGGTCTGCTTTGCATTATTTCCTTTCTACTTGAATAGTAAGAAATTATTGGAAGGCTGCTGGTCACAGTGTCATAGCTAAATTGGTCCAGCTATAAACTAGTCAGCAGGGCACAAGCAGCAGGTACATAAGAATAGGAAATGAAAGCTTTAAAAATTACATAAAAGAAGGTGGTGGCAATCAGAGCACACCTTAGCCAAAACCTCAAAAACCATGGAAATAAAATACCTAAATGTCTTGTTTTCAACAGCATCACTGGCAACATACTCCAAGTTCACTCATACTGTGCAATCATACTACAGTCACATAATCCAGTAAAATTTGTAAATTACTGAGCTGGATATTTAATGAATTGTCATTATGATAACACATTTCCCTGTAGCTGACCAAAATTACAAAAAATGAAACAAAATTTGGATGAGGTATTTTAGATGCTAAGTCTATCACCTTCAGTATTACTATAGCATATGTAGTATTTGTAAAGTGGCAGAAATATGATTTCCAGTCAGAGAGGGACTTGGGGGTGTTGACTGATAGCTGACTGAACAGGAGCCAGCAGTGTGCCCAGGGGGCCAAGAAGGCCAATGGCATCCTGGCTTGTGTCAGCAATAGCGTGGCCAGCAGGGACAGGGAAGGGATCTTACCCCTGTACTCGGCACTGGTGAGGCCGCCCCTCGATTCCTGTGTTCAGTTTTGGGCCCCTCACTACAAAAAGGACATTGAATGACTCGAGCGTGTCCAGAGAAGGGCAACGGAGCTGGTGCAGGGTCTGGAGCACAGGTCGTACGGGGAGCGGCTGAGGGAACTGGGGGTGTTTAGTCTGGAGAAGAGGAGGCTGAGGGGAGACCTCATCGCCCTCTACAGCTACCTGATAGGAGGGTGCAGAGAGCTGGGGATGAGTCTCTTTAACCAAGTAATAAGCGTTAGGAGAAGAGGGAATGGCCTCGAGTTACACCAGGAAAGGTTTACACCAGATATTAGGAAGCATTTCTTTACAGAAAGGGTTGTTGGGCGTTGGAATGGGCTGCCCAGGGAGGTGGTGGAGTCCTCATCCCTGGAGGTGTTTAAGAGTTGGGTTGACATAGCGCTGAGGGATCTGGTGTAGTTGAGAATGGTCAGTGTTAGGCCAATGGTTGGACTAGGTGATCTTCAAGGTATTTTCCAACCTAGATGATTCTGTGAAATATGAACTACAGATTGACCCTCAAAACCAGTATGTACAGTGAATACTTCCATTTATAAAGTACTGTAGTGAAAATCTAAAATGTTGCAACAAACAGTAAAGAATTTCACCCAAAATTAACATGCTGATTAGAAATCCAACTGCAAAAAAGGATAAGGGAAAGTATAACAGTACAGATACTGATGTAAGCATCTTCCTGAGCCAAAGCCACGTTCCTGCCAAATAAGAGAACCTTAATGAAAGACTTGCCAATAATGAACCTTGCAGTAGTTTGAGCTACCAGCTTGATTCTGCAGTTGTTTCAACACTTAAAATTTTCATTTATGTCAAATGGGTTTGCATAAAAAAGAACAATGTAAAAGTGCATACAAAGGCCCACTTTCAATTCAAAACCTTTGTATTAAAGTATAACTTCACCAAAAGAACTTATAAAAAAAATATTATCTGCTGCAGCCATTACAAGGGGTGTTATGCTTCCAAATAAATAATAACTGAAAAACTTATACTAGAATTTTAGAATTTAAAGGAAGAGAGTGTACTCTGCATTGCTATTTTAATCATTCTCACTCTTCTTCATATACTCAGCTATTCTCCTTAAAATGCACACACACTTGAACTGAATTTTAAGTTTCGTGCAGCGAATACCTTTAAAATAACCTCGTAAATACATCTCTCCAGTCCACAACAACCCAACTTACACTACGCCTTCAAATTTGTATTCTTTATAGGGAAAGGAGGATATTCTCACCATCATCAGTACAAAGTTGACAGAGTAAGATCTTACAATTCCCAACTGTATTCCCAACACCTCCAAAGATTCTGTAACACTACAGACTGCCTCAAACCTGAATATTGGCTTACTATACAAAGCTTTAGTCACACTTGTGGTGTGATTACCTACTAACATCAATAAAAATTTCAGGACAGCATTACATATCATTGGGATACTAGGAGTGATTGGTGAGGCAAAAATAATGGCTTTAAATATTTCACCGGATTTTAATGCAAGTAGTATTAATTAAATATCAAAAAAGAAGATTGCAGAGAAAATATAACACAGGTTTGAACTTTTCAAATCATTACAGAGAAGGTACAGTACACTTTAAGACTGGCTACAGACTAGAACATAATTCAAACACATTAAATTCTGCAGTTAAACATTAAGCTGTTAATGTACTAACATCTTTCAATTACTGACTGCTCTTCCACCTTTCAGGATAATATATCAACAATTATTTCCAGAGCATCAATAGATGCTCTATCATGTACCGTAATCCAGCAGGTAGCACTGAATTCAACGTAACTGGCAGACACAATGGAAAATAAACACCTATTTTATTGTAACAAATCAAAGATCTATTTATGTCAAAAGTTTCATCCAAAATAAAGGAAAGAAATAAGACAGACACAGACAGCTTAAAAAAATCTGATTTTGTTTAAATAGCTTTACGAATTTGGAGTAGTCAGAGCATAATTACTTCAACCACAGCAAACTAGTTCCAATTCTACCTGCCTTTATATTGTTGTCATATGACACAACATTCATATAGCTGATAATGTCAGAATATAAGAAGCCAAAGGCAGCAGAGGCAAAAGATCCATGTGTGCTACTCTGTCACAGTCCATGCTGGAGCCTGAGTCAAACCATACTTCTTCTGTCAACAAACACTACCGGAATAAAAGAATATTTCTCCTCCTGTGGCTACTCATCCAGACTATGTATCACATTCCTACCACAGACAGTTAACCTGTCAGTTTGCATAGCAGAAGTCTGCCTAAGAAAGCCAAGGATTTCATCAGTACGTTGTCCATCAGAAGGATCTGCTGTCCTAAAAATCCAGGCTATTACATACAAAAATACATTAATTTTAAAAACCCAGTATGACAGTAAGTTTTTAGAAATGTCAAAATAAAGGGAGACTGGGAAACTGATTCTGCTACCTTCTGTGCATGTCTCTTCACAGCACACAATCTATATATGCACACAAAATAAATACAGGTTTTCCTTCAGACTAATGAATCACTTGGGGTGAACAAGACTCCAGGAAGCAGTTGTGGAGCACCAATGATTTATCCACAATATACCAACCTTGTTTAGAGCAGGTGGAAGATGTTTGGTGAGTGTGATAGGGAATTACAGTAAGAAGTATGGTCTCATGCATTAAAACGTTACTCTTTAGAAACAGAAGTCGAGTCTTTTTCTATCACAGGGTTCCCACATGATGACAGTTACTTACATAAGTCATACACCAGCTTCTAACCTCCAAGTCATGCAGTTTCCCCAGAGGCTAAACAGAGGTATAAGTCAGCCTCGTGACTGAAGCTGTTGAACATACTGGTTATGCACTTGTCCTGAAACTCTTAACTAATTTAAAATTGTTCCTGGAAAATACAGCACTTGGAGTTCTGGCAAGAGCAGACAGTATACTTCATGTTAAGATGTTCTCCATCTTTCTACAGAGTCTTTCAGAAGCAAATCACAGCTATCCCGCAGTCCAGGTGACCTACTGAGGCATACTCTTCTCAGTGCCATCTTTCCTAAAAAGGCCTTTGCCAACCCTCTTCATCTGATTGGAATTGTTCCCATTAAGTGAGAAGAAAAGGCCCGGATGAAAGGCAGCAGCTGGGAGAAGGGCTGCTACAGTGAACACAGGAACAAACTGAAAATATCTGGATGCTTTTGAGAAAGTTAGGAGTGGCTCATTATTCAAACAGCAGTCTACAGAAGGTAGAGAGATCACAGGGTACCTATCTCAGACTACGACCAAAAATTTCAGGCAGATTGTAGTTGTGCCTGCCTTTATTTTCTTGGTTCTTAACTCAAGACATCTTATTTGGAGAAACACTGAAGAGTCACACTTGCAATTTTGATCTAACAATAGCTGATGATAGCTCTAACAATAAGATGAAGAGGAGGTAATGGGATCTACATTGGTATTTTCATCTCAACACATTAGCTGCTAAACATTAAGTAGCTGTTCGTCTTTCCAAATATTTAAAAGTAAAAAGCTGAGTAAGGAGGCAGATATGCAGTTTAAAGGAAAGATGGGTGTCGGTAACATCACCTGATGCAATTCTTGTCTGCAGTAGAAGTTTTCTAGCACTTCATTCTGAGAGTATTGATTGACAGAGGGAACCCAGGTCTCTCACTGCATTCTCTGAATATAGTAACATTAACCTTATGATGGGCTTCCACAGCAACTGCTTAAAAGTGTGTCCTGCTGTGAAAAACACTCATTTCAAATTATTCCATGTTGGTAGTTTCTCACAAGGTTTTTTTGTTTTTTTCCTCTTAGCAAAGAGAGAAATACTTTTTTTCAATTCACATCAATACTCTATAGTCCTCCTTTCTAAAGAATCTGGTCAAATTAGTGTTCATTGTAAACAACAAATCAAAGAAACAATCAAAACTTTCAGTTTGTGTCATCAGTATTAGGTGTATATTCACTACCTGGTAAAAAAGCATGCAAAACAACAGCATATCACCTTCCAAAACATAATCCAATCAGGTCCAGAAATCATGGACTTTCAAACTTTTGGAAAGGAGAAGGGCAGGAAAGTCAAAATAGTTACTAAGAACATTTCAATAATTCATACTCTCTCACAAATAATGTCAACTTAGACATTCATTTTACCTTGAGAAGGTATGTAGGAATGTTGCTGAAATCTACAGGCAACTTCAAGAGGAAGCGAGCTGAGAATTCTCCAGTCTGTGGAAAAAAAGGTAACACTAATGAGACCTGGTGTCTAAAGCAGAAACAGAAATTGAACGTGCTGAGGATGAAATATTAACCAGAAAAATGTGTAAGAGCTTATACCAAACAGAAGGGTTGAGATTTAAAACAACATTTCTCAATGGAATTACTGAAGAGGAAAAAAAAATAATTTACAGAATTCACAGATGTTACAGGAGAAAATACCTTAAAAACCGTAAAACATCACTGCCAGTAAGTCAACAGCAGAAGGTAGTCAGAATCCAACAATGTGCATGACAAAAATCAGACTATATTTGTTAGGCCCTAAATATAGATGTATCTTGGCTGTACTGATTTCCGGACAAAGGTCTGGTGAGATGCAGAAATGGTCTGACAGTAAAGCTAAAAACCTGGTGAATTTATAAGAGCTTATAGATAAAATAGAGGCATCTTCACAAACACTGCACGTACAGATAAGAGAATATGCATTGATTAAGTTGAGAATATATCAAAAGTGTCCTCTGAATAAACAAAGAACTGAAGTAGGTTTTATATAATTAATTTTCCAAATTATGTGACTCTTAACACCTAGACAACAGTTTATTGAAAATTTGCCAAGCGTCCCCTCCACATTGCTCTTTTTTATGCATAAAGTGTATGCAAAGGAAATGGAAAGGATTTCCTTTCTGTTTCATACACTTCCTCAAAGCTAGACTTTGTCCACCTGGTTATGAAGCAATGAAGTTGTCTCTTTTTGAAAAACAAATGCTTGCCTGATTTCCTACATATTAATATTTTGTCATCCCTATTTTTTAATTAAATAAAGTAGCTATACAGCAGTTATATTTGTAATGTTGAATTAGCGGTAGAAAAAGCATTAAACAGTAATTTTATCAGTTGAGTACAAAAAATTAGGACATCTTGAGACAAGGTAGCAGCATTTGTTTTAACACTGCCCATTATTTGCATATATACACTACTTAGTTAAGTGATGACATCCAATTTTTAAAAAACAGTATGTCATTTTAACAGGCAAGGGGACAAATCAAAGCTGTGTGAATATACAGTATTCATTCTCCCACAGTAACACATATGTGGTACTTCACTATTCCCTGAACACAGTTATCTGCACCTTATTTTCATTTTACTATTTTAAATGTTTTGCACAGCCAAAGTGAGAAGAAAAATACTTTTAAACAAGAAATGTACAATATACAAATTTTAACAAAGTGCACATCCACCTATGGTGAATGTGTATACTGCAATTCTCATTAAAAGGGTCAATGTAAATACTACACTAGATTTAATGAAACAGGATCATATTTATTGTGTATACAGCTATACCTTGTGCTAAGTAAAAGCCTGCAGTACATCTGAAATAATGGAAGCATCCTTTCTGTAAAATGCAGTAGTGACCTATGGAAGAGATGTAGAGGATCTTGAGAACAAACAGGTTGCCTGAGACCATGCCCAGTCAGCTTCTTAATATCTCCAAGTAGATCCCACAATCTCTCTGGGCAATCTGTGCCAGTGCTCAGTCACCCTCAATACTCAAGGGCTTATAAACCCCACAAATGTCAAAGGGATGCCTTTTGGGCCACTGTTTACTATGTTTAATGGATGTTTTCACAAGAACTCTACACAGCAATAGGGACAGCTTGTCAAAGGCTACAACAACTCTTCAAGAGAAGTGCATTCCAAGTCTTTTAACACCTGTACTGATACTGAAAATTTGCCATATGCCTTTGCAAAACAGTCAGTACGTTTGCCTCCCCTCTTAATTAGGTGTGCTAATCCACAATTTGCTTTGAGCTCAGCATAAGAGAAAACATAGAGGTTGTCACTGGCCATATACCACTGGACCACAAGCCTCCGTAGTGATGGACCACACCAACTGCTGTGCATATTGATTCAGAAAGGAACTGGCTGACAAAAATACTGACAGAAGCAAGCTTGTAGATGCACAAGCCTCCCTGAGAATGTACTGGAGATCTAAGTCAATGGAAACTGGCTTTCCGAAATGAAAGGTAAGCTGCTAAGCAGGGTAGCTGAGGAATATAAATGACTGTTTGCTAAGCATGTTTTTCTGTGCTACTGACATGAAATAAAATTGAGAAGGAAAAAAATTTCTACAGAACTGGATTCCTTCAATTAATTTTATGCCTAAAGTAAGCAAAGATTTCATCCCAAGCAACTAAGTACATACAGACAAAGATGCTGTGTTAGGCAGATGTACATTAAGCAATGCTAATATCGGTGCAAATTTGTTTCTTAATCTGTGTATCAGGCATGAACTAGAGATAACTCATTCTACCTTCCAGTCACTAAACAAGAAAAAACAAGATCTTGAATGCATCCAAAATCTTTCCAATTCTACCTTGCCAGTTTTATCATTTGCCAAAAGGTTTGTGTGATGTTAAGTTGTAATCCACCCTGCTGCCAGCTAGCTCAGAATTGCCCTTAAAATTTGTCCCTGGTAGTCACACAATAGAGGCAAAGCAATTGTACATAGAAACGCTACGCAACAAGAAGTAAGCATATATTACATTAAATCCAGGCTCTGAAACCCTTCCTGATGACACTACTCATAGATGCCAACTTTCTGATGCTTCATTACTTACGTATGCAGAAAAATCACTGACTTTTGTGCATGTGTAATATGCCATGACAGTCAGGGCACTTGCTTTTTATTCAGAGTGAAATGGATATTATAGACAGTGCTTCTTGTCTGGACTTAACTTCCAAAAAGATGCCATACAACATTTGCCACAAAACCCAGAAAATTATTTCTGGTAAAATACCAAGTCTAATGAACTGGGATGGTCACTGAACAAAATGGCCTCTGATCAAAACATCAGCTGCTCCAAGATGTGGAAGTAAATAAGGACTTGCAGTCTAGATCTTTTATGTCATTCAATCTAGATTATTTTGCAAAGTATTACTTCTAAAAGTGTTCTGGATGGGCAGGGAGCAGGCCCTGTCCATGGTGCTCGCCTACCCAACTCCAACCTGCTGGTCACAGGCAGCAGGTTGAGCAGATGAATTTCTGGCCACAGCAGAGAGATTACATAGTTAATGGGCATCTGTATCAGCTGGTACTCTGCCAACATGCAGCTACTAAGCTAGATAAAGGTTTGTCTACTTGTCACAGATCTTGGAGATCACTTCAGGAAATTGGACATATTGGAACAGAGGTATAAAAGCAAATTTTGGGACACAGCATTGAATTCAGGCCTCCTCTTCAAAGTTTTTTAACTCAAGCACTTAAGATGATTGCTTTCATAACATTGTGCAAGGTTCATTCATAGATGATTATTTCGGAAGTCTGCTGAGCTACTATCGATTCCTGAGAGACAGCAACAACATGAATTTCAATGTTTTCTAGGCAGAGGAGGCAAGAGTTTACCTCTTGCTTTTCAGATAAACACTCCTATTCTGCTGATCACCAAGACCAACAAGACAGTTGTAAAGGACAGGAAGGAGAATGACACAAGTTAGTTTCATAGCTTTGAGTTTTAGGACACTCACAAACAAGACCATATCATGTAGGGATCAGGTTCACAGAATCTCCAAACAAGACTCTCAGGGTCTTCTTGAGAGACAATGTAAACTTTAAAAACAAAGCACATGCTACAGAAACCTCAAACAGCTCAGCAATGATTAGAAGGATTTGTCTCAAAATGTATTTAATTTTTAGTTTATTGGAATATTTTTAGCGAAGACAGCATTTCAAATGCCAAAAAAAAAAAGAAAGTTCTTTATTCAGTCACCAAAGACTAAGGAAAAATTCAAAAGGCTTGAGTAGATATGGCTTTCCTACAAAAAAAAAAAAAGAGAAGGAAAAAAAGCTCTAGTTTTCTACAACCTTGACTAGAATTTTGGCAGCTGCCAAAAATAATGAGAAAATCTCAGTACAATATCCTTTTAATAAACCAGTGTATTTTCAGATGTGGCAAGTTAGTTATGTGAGCTATAGAGAATAACATTTAAGAACAAATTAATTTCAGTGAAATATTCCTATATATAAACATTAAAAAAGAGATCTGAAATTCTCTGATAAAGAAAATTTTAGTTGGTTTAAAATAAAAAAGCCTAGATGACTTAAGAAAATAGAAACAGATGAATATAAGTGCTGTAAGTTGTAAACATCCTTATGTCACCAGTAATTTAAGGATGATTAAAGTAACATAAACCTGAATTCTAGGCCCTGATAACAGAAATGCTGAATTTTTATTGATGTTCAGACTGCATCTATTTCAGAAGATACTTCTTCTGAAGGCCAGTATATCTTGAGTATGCTATTGCTGAAAGCAAGAGGGAAACACATTCTGCATAAATATAATTAGATATTTCCTGATATATCTTACTCCAAACTTCCCATGATAGACATATTGCCAGTGGAAAAAAATCTGATTTTTGCAAAGCTTACTCTGTGGCAGAGATCAGTTTTAAAAAAATTTATAAAATCAAATCACACACTAACCAAAATGTCTACATTGCCAATACCCTCATTTTAGAAGGCTAAGATTGTATATATACAGTGCTTCTACACGGCATGGCACATTTCCCAGGCAAAGGATACAAATTCAGGAAACGGATAAGCCAGTTTAATGTCTGACTGTCATATGAAGACGGTCCTGCAAAGTCACTGCTCTAGCCCATTTCAACTTCTCCTGTCCTTCTGCAGAAAATTAGTTGGTTTTAGTTGAGTTTAGGTTCCTGAAACAACTCACCTCAGCTTAGGCGAGTGTCAGAGAGAGATAGGCAGCTGCAGCTACCAATTAAATCAACTCAACTGTAATGTGGAACCATTCCCTAATACATCCTGCCCCTAAGCAGGCTGATTTGCCTGAGCAGGGTGTCATACCAACACTGTTATTCTGCTTCTCAAATCTTCAGAGCTAACTTAAACTTCACATAACATTGTACTGTGCCCTGTAAAAACTGCATGGGCTCTTCAACAGCTTAAAAAGATTTTGTCTATAGATCAGATGAATTAACATCATGTTGAAAAACTGTTACTCACCTGGAAATCTGGTTCAACCACAGTAGTGGAATGATGGCAATGTACAGAACAAGGGGCATAGAAAGTGAGCTGCAGTCAAACAGAAATCCTCTCCACTGGAAATAAAGCATGGAGATCCACAGAAACAACTCAATTTTTCCAAGGCAAGAGCTGTATTTATTAAAATGAAAGGATCATTAAAAGCATTTTAGCAGAAATATTCTTAACATCTTACCCAGTTGTTCTTTTTGCCAGCATAGATTTCCATGTTTTCTCCATACTGGGGCTCTTCAAGTAAAGTCTGATATTCAAACATGAGACGAGAGCTCTCACGTAATCGGCTGCACTGAAATTGGTGATACTGCTGCACAAGCTCTTTCACAACAAGCAGGAGGCATTCAGGGTTTGAAGGATTCCAAGAAGCTAAATTCTGTTGAATTAGAAAAGAACAGAGACCAAAACTGTTTACAGAAATAGAAAGACAAGCACTTCCCCTTCCATACTGATATCAGGCACATACACATGTGGAAACTTTGTGACAAAGCTAAACCATAATATTAAATGCAAAGGTTGTATCATGCTTTGGAAGAAAACCAGGTCAAACAGCAAAAGCAAGCCTTAATGTCAAAAAAGAGTCCATAAAGGGACCTACCACTAAACTGACAACAGGGCTACTACCAGGCACAGATAGGCCCAAACTACCATTCTATTCTTCCCTAAAATTACCGTGTTGCATCTGAGAACTTGAGAAGTTTGAATTTAAAAAGTTAAAACTGATACGAAACATATGGGGATCAGGTAAGTACAACCCCGCATAGTATCTGACTCAAAAAGCAGTCAGCCAAGTGAATATGACAAATTAACACCAACTGCAGGAACGATTCTGCTCCATTATTCAAATAGCAGTTATAGTATTAACAGTGACGGAGCAAATGGCTTCTCTTCTCTTGTCTCAACCTTGAGCTTTACTTCACCTTGACTGTCTCTTCACTAGAGTTATCTTGACTCACCCCCTTAAAACAGATGCCATACATATACAAGTCTCTTCAATGTGCCTGGCAGAAGTTTTTATTAGAAGTTGACTGAATATAAAGAAACACATTTAACAGAAATAAATATCTTTATACAATGAAGATAAGTGTGTCAGTAGCACAGTAGCAATTTTACCTCTCAGTTTAACTACTCTAATATTGGCTTAGACCAGCCTTCCATGCACAGCACATTTTATTCAGGAAGGTTTTCGGTTACAACCATACCTAACATGATCAGTGTTGCATGTCTACACCTGGTTGACCTAAAATGGATCTTTGTTAAAGGCAGATGAGGATTCACTCTGCACTCCATGCTGACAAGACATGAGACAGTTCTGATGTAAAAGTACTTAGGTCCTCATATGCTTTGTATTTAGGTCCTCAACAGATCTTCTTGATACAAGCTCAGTGCATGTTAACAGTCATGCAGCTTTTGGTCAGCTTTGAATATGAGCAATCTTAAAACTGTATTTCTGTATAACACATAGACATATGACAACAAACCAGCTGCAACGGGATGTTAAACTGCATGGACTGTACAGTTAACATTAAGATCCTTAGAGCTGGCAAAGATGTCTGCATTTACAACTCAGTGAAGATATAATATAGTAGCTTCAAATAAAAATACTTATCAGTATCTGAATTCAAAGTAGTTACAGATGGCATGGTTGCTTTTGTCCTGGAAGTTGCAGACATTCATAAACAAATTATATGCATAATTTACATTCTTCAGCGAGGACAAAAAAAAAGCATTAGCCTTTTTTTACCTCTTCAGTGGAAAAACTGCTTTGGTATGTGGCATTTGCTACAATAAAAGGACAGAAAATATTTCTGTACTTTGAAGTAGCTATCTTAAGACTGCCTTGTATTCAAACACATTAAAAAAAATTACATTAAAAAAATAACCTAGGTTAAGTAAATGAATGAAGCTGGATAAAAACCATGTCCCCTAAAATATACAACCTATTCGTATTTTGTATAACACTGAAACTAATAAATACAAGTGAACAGGTTGCACAGAGAAGTTGTCGAGTCTCTGTCCTTCGAGGTATTCAAAACCCATCTGGACAAGGTCCTGGACAGCCTGCCCTCTGACCCTGCCCAGGCAGGGAGGCTGGACTAGATGATCTCTAAAGGCTCTTTCCAACATCTGCTATTTTTTGATTCTATGAAGAGGTTTACAAAAACCTCAAACTGAAACAGAGGATCTTATCAAAGGTGAGACTCTATAGTTCTGATCGGAAAAGAAATTAACAAGTTGTATAGAAATTTTATCTTCTAATACTCTGGAAAGGCAGACAGAAAGCTTAACAAGTCCTTCACCAAGTACCATAATTTCAGCTATTCAATGAAATCTGCTTGTAGCCTAATCTCTAAATATGTGGCTATTTCCATAAAAAAGGCTTATCACTTTTATCTCTGATGACTGTAGTTCATGATGTGTCTCTTTGGAATGGTTTTATACAGACCTCAGTATATGTGTATGACGGCTTAATACTTCCAGCATTTCTCTTTCCATAACTTTATGTTTGTTTCTCTCTGAAGTCATATACATTAAGATGTTATCAAAAGGAATTTCTCATTTTCAGCGTCATCACTTAAAACATACAAGTCTAATTTGTCAGTGAAAGTGACATGAAATATGTATTGCTTCCTTGAAAATCTTGCTTTTTTTTGAGAAAAAAAAATCAGTAATGTTTACTACAGCAATTTTATCTCAAATCTTACCACATGTTTTTCCTGAAGTCCCCAGTCCTGGAGGGGATCAATTTTAAGAGAATCTCAGCTACGTTCTACCCATCTCCTCCACCCCTTTTCATTTAAGTTAATCGCTACAAGAGAGCAAAGAAATCTGTGTATGCACTACCTATATTCAGAGAAAAAAAAAAAAAAAAAAAAAAAAAAAAAAAAAAAAAAAGAGAAAAGCCAGAAGAAATACAATTTAGAAATTCAACCCATTTTATATCTCATAAACATGGTTTTTAGACCACTGTCATGACTTTCAGCAACATGATTCATGATTTTTGGATGACTATGGCTGGCAGTGCTGCATTAATTGTCTACACATCACTCATTCCTGTGATTAGGATGAAAACCATATATTCCTGTCCAGTGAAAATGGTTGGGAGAAACAGAATTTTGGAAGGTGGTGCTCTCATTCTTAAGAAACACAGACTTGTTCTTGCTTTGATAAAACCAGAAAAACTTATAATCTTATGAGTGTGGATGGAGCACTTAGGAGAACACTTACCTCTAGAGTATAGTTTTGAAAAAGACCTGATTCAGGTATTTTACAGATTCACCCAAGACTGACAGGCTCAGCTTAAGAAACACAACAGGACATAACTGCTGATCACGATTTGCGTTGTTTTACATAGATGAACGAACAGCTCAATGAACAGTTACAGGATTAAACTGTACTCCTGTTCTCCTGCTCCCTATGATTCTGTTAGAAAGGGCTGCTCAGAACGGCTAAGATACTATCCTTGAACCTCTCCCTTTAGAAGCTACCAGTTTCCTAGACTTCACACTTGACCATGACTTGAAGTACTCTTTTTTTTTTCCTCCTAGACAATAACAATAAAATGGGGGTATTACCATTGCCATATCTTTGAAGGTAAACTACATTCCAGAGTAATTGAGAAATGGGCGAGATATAGCATGGTTCATACTAGTTCCTCAAATACACACTACAGAGTGACTAGAAGCCTTGTTCTACCTTGTCTGCTATCTACAGCTGGCAAAACTTTATTATCAACTTGAACCTATTTAAACTTATCCAATTCTATAAAATACTAGAGAAAAATCTATCAGGTTGTCAGTGTCTTCTAGGAAACACATTTTGTATCATGCAGTCTGAAGCCAGACTGTGCATAACCTTAAATTTCCTGTTCCCAAGCTGCTGCTCAAAAGAAGCACTTCCAGAAAGCCAGAGGATGTAATATGCCAGTTTGTATTGATATCAGCCAGACAAGTGGGAATAACCTTTCCTCCTAATGACATTGGTATAACACAATAGAAATGTTCTGTCAAAGGAAATGACCAACAATATTTTAATAACTGACCTAAATGCAACCGAACCTTTTGTTTTTGAAATAACATTATGCTACAGAACAAAAAAAGAACAAGAGGAAATCCATTGTCATTTGTCCAGCATGGAGCTAGAGTATTGCTCTCTTCAAAGAATTCAAGAACACTGCATCAAAACAGTGCTTATGCTGTATTGCCTTAAAGCTGCAGGAATTAATATATATTATATGACTGTAGGATCCTTACTAAGTACCTTTCATTCAGTAACTAAAGATTCAAAGTATGAACTGGTTATAAAAACAAATCACCTGGAGAAAAATTCAACTACCCACCTAGTACATACATCAATTACAACAGATTCTCACTGATGAAAAGAGTAAACATACAGTGGTTAAACAAATTTTCTGTAACAAGTTCTGATTATAATAACATTAATTTTAAACTTTAGAATTATACTATTGTAGTACTTGTTACTTGGCAACTGGCCATTACATTTCTAGCTGTTTTGTTAACTTTGCAGAAATGCTGTTCTTTTCAGATCTAGATTAATAAATTTTAACACAACACTTCTGAATACAATGACATATTTATGTATGAAATTTCTTTTTATATGTCTTAAGTGCTGTTTATTTGACTTAAGCACTAGGTTTATTAATCTGAAAATACTTTAAAACCATTTTACTGTGAACCAATTTCAACAGTATGTCAAAATACATGCTACATTGTTCTCTCAGTTTCAAACCATACCATCTTTAATCTTCCATTTTTGAAAACAAAGTAAGCAACTACCTGTAACATACACTGTTGAAACTTAACTAAAGCAGAATTTTATGTTTATCAAGTTGTTCCCTTGCAGAATGTCTTAATTGCTACAGTTTCAGCATTATGATTCTTCAGAGAACACACAAGGATTTGTCACTTTAGTCAATGAGAGTAGTGTCCCTGCAACAGCAAATTGACCTCCTTCTTTAAAGGATCTTCTCAATAAAATTTTATTTAGCAATGCAGTACTGTATTAACTATTAGACTTTGGAGACTGCTTTAATCAACAAAATCTTAAAGTAAAGGCTTTGGAGCAAAAGGGAGTAGTAGTAGCCTGTGCGCTTCATTTTCTGATTGTTTGCCTGAAGGCTGTATTCCAACCTTAGCATTCCAACCTTAGCCAATACAGATTTTTAAGAAATAGTATTTAAAAATATTTAAAACATTAGAAGAACAGAGCAAGCTTGCAGTGTTTCTGTGTTCCATGGCTCCAAGTTTTGCCACAAAACTCAGATCATCCAGAAGATTTAAACTCTGAATGCAACTTCAAAATTATTTGTTTTATCTGTTAAAGCTTCAGAAAAACCCTGGAAATATGAAAACACAC